GTGCTTTCACACTTTGTTTGCCACTAGACCTAATATGTTTGAATATCGGCGTCATGGATACGTATCAGTCAATTGTGATTTTTATTAAGCAAATATGCCGAAAATCATAAATTCAGATGCGAAAATGCAAATTTTAAAAGCCTACAGGCATTATAAAACAGACAGGCCAGACCTAAGGAAAGCGGAAATCTTAGCCCGGCTTAGTGACATTTGGGATGTGAGTATTTATGCATTGAACTTAACTTTCGGTCTAATTTTGGGGTTTGTACCATTCTAGGTATCAGAAAAAACCATTGAAAGAATTATCCGGCTGGATACTTATGAATTGAAACCTTTTGGCCCTCGACCTAAAACTTAAATGTAAAAATTTTTCATTTCGGGAAGATTTGCAACGACTGAATTGGAATTATCACTCGAAAAATGAACACTTTACTTTGGCTGACTTACTAAGGGACGCGCGGGAAAATTTTGATTTTGATAAGGGGAAAACTACCTTATACAACATTCTAAAATCAATGGGTTATAAATACAATCACGTAAATGGACGTAAAATTCTCTGTGAACAAAAATATGTTGTTGCATCCAAAATTACATTTTTGAGGAAATTCTTGCAATATCAAAATTCAAGTGAAAATATAACATTCGTGTATCTGGACGAAACTTGGATTTTTCAAAATGGATCCAGCGTCCGAAAATGGGTACACGATTCTGAAATTAAAAGTAATCCATCTAAAATTAAATCAGAAGGGAGCGTTTTACTGTTTTGCATGCGGGGTCTCGTTTTGGATTTTTGGAAGGGTGTAATCTATTACAAACTTCAAATAGTAACGAGGTAGAATCCATAATTTCAAACAGTTCCAAGATTGGGCTACTAGTTCAAAAGTTACAGCCCTTTGAATTTTTTTTCAAAATTGGTTTCTAGTCTATAATTTTTGATTGAGAAGTCTGATCGAAAAAGTACGAATTGATTTGGATTCTATGCACCCAAATTAATAAGAAAAAGTGTTTTCCCGAGAAATTTTGGTGTAGTCGATTTTTGGTAAAAAAGGAAGGTTATACACTGCCTTTTTTTGAGCCCCGAAAAAAAAATTATCTCAGATCGACCCGGAAAAAAATTTTCTTATAGAATGTGGCCTGTAGAATCCTTAATTTCAAACAGTTCCAAGATTGGGCTACTAGTTCTAAAGTTACAGCCCTTTGGGTGGTTAATTAATTACTTCCATCAGGCAGCTGCTCTACGACTAAAAGGTTCCCCAAAGAATAGGAAGCTACCCGCCGTAAATAAGATTAACAGAAATGTACTAATCATCAAACAGCACAGACGGAAAACAAAAGATCCAAGGAAGAACATTCCAATGGCACCGTAGAAGCAAGAACTACACTCAAGCGCAGTTAGGTATCTAGCTATTACTAAGCATATAATTGTAAATATATAACAGCATTTTGAAATTAATAATGTTCATTAGAGCCATTTGCCTACTCAATAAAGTATGAAACGTATTGAGCAAGTTGTTTCTCATGAAATTTATACGTATTAACCTATAACAAAATTACCACAAAATCCAAAACTAAATCTGGCAACTAGGTTTTGCTCATTGACAGGAAATTATCATTTTGTATAAAATGGACATAACCTAATGAGTGACAGCACATATACAGTATACACAGTGAATTTCATCACCCTAACATGGCCTACTACTTGGACAATAGATATTGAACGGAGTATATGCGTTGGAGAATTAATATCAGTCGGAATCGGACGATAGCAACTTTTTTTTATTGATAGCATACACATGTGGTATCAGTAAACGTCCTTAGTAGTGAAATTTAGATATGGATATAGAATATAATTAAAATCTATTTACAAATCGGACAGTGGTATAGTAAAAGCCGGAAACTGCTACAACAAATTTAAAAACGTTTCCCAGGAAAGAGTTCTTAAGCAATCGATCCGTCGAGAAAGATGAAGGAAACCACTCCACATTTTGTACCTAAAGGAACTCGACAGAATCTCGTTGAGTTCCAGTACCAAAGGTATTAGGATAATGGTCTAATGCAGATAGTACCATAAATATGATATAAAACGGCAATAGCTTCCCTAACTTTACGTTATATGATCGGGTACTCACGTATTTTATACGGCAGTAACAGTCAGAGAAATTTGTAAAGTGATACTTAAAACTGTCATAAAAATTAATGGTTTTCCTTACTTCATATAAAACCACAGTATTTCCTTTCTGTTTAGCTAACAATGCTTTAGATATAGGAACTTTTATAGAACGTGCACACAAAATATAATAAAGACACATTTTATATCGTATATTTTCTCGTGACTTCCTTACAGTCGAAAATGGAAGATTTTTTACGTTAGGTACACGGCCCAGAATAATTAGACGTTAATTACAGTAATTTTGGATTCGCCTATACTAAATTCGTCTAGTTTCAATGCAGGTACTTCGCACGTTATTATGCCAGTTTAGAGCAAAGCAAAACGTTACGGATTTTGTTACGATCTTACTCATAACTTAATTACATGCAAAGTTAAGAGCAACTTACTTCTGTCACCTAAACTTGAAGCGACGTTTTGAGGAAATTTAATTACTGGATGCATTATAAGTTTCGCGATATTATTTAGGATTGGCGTTAATAGCGTACGCCTGTAATAACAGACGATTTGTAACGTTAATTCGGAAACAAGCGCGGTCGTAATCTAATACCTGCCGTATTAATGGCAGTTTGTTGATCTATACGAGCTCCTATGAATAACATAATCAATTGATGCTATAATCTGCTTATACGTGATGCGGTAAGACGATTTATGTTACGTACGGGCATTGAATATCAGGGGAGTTGGATATTCAATGGTACGGGTGTCGGGGGTGGTGTGTGGATTGAAATCCGAAATTAAGGACCCTTAACGTAACTAACTTAAAGCCACTTCGTTCAGGAACCATCCCGCAAAACCCGTCCTCGTCGCAGGAGAATGACTGGTCACAAAATATCAAAATAATGACAATTCTAAGCAAAACGTTTTTGCACTTACAAGATGAAAACGGCTACTTAATCTTGGAGACAGAAGAATATAGTGGTAGAGGGTTTTAATTCAAAAGGGTCAATCCAACATTTTTTCATCAATTTGCCTTTTATTGTTTACTGAATTTTCACCATTTTCTAAAGCTATATAAAGAGGTTATATAATGTTCCAAATCTTACACTGCGAATTAAGCTTCCTCGGGAAAAGGATAAGTAAACTTCTGTTATATCGGCGTTTTTGTAGATAACTTTAGAGTTGGAAAACCAATGAAAATGAACGAAATATCGCCGTCATTGCTTTCCACCATGAAATAGGCGTTTTAAATCAGTTTAGTATAGAGAGGAGACCCACTTTCTGTGAAATTAAAAGGGTCAAGACGAGAGTAGCGTTTGGTCAGTACTGCGTTTAGCTCAGCATTTGGCGTTCGAGAAAAAGTTAATACAGATCAACGCGACAATCAGTGTCCATTTTTTCAGTAGTTTTCTGGAACTTAACATTTTGCCCCAGTGGAAAAATTACGCGTGTTTGGTTTTAAAAGCATAATTCAATAATGACATTTATTTTCCGGATTTTCCCATATAATTCTAATCTGCCAGGGTCGAGTAGATAACTCAACTGGACACTCGCATTAAGTCCGTCGCGAGAATTAGTCGATTTCGGTTACTGATACAATTAATAAAAGCAACTAAAATTCGCTCTGTGAAATAAGTAAAGGACGATTAACGAACTAGTAGTTTCTTGACAAATTCAACCTTGCATTTACCCTTGCCATTCCGTAATCTTGTCCCTTGTCCTTATCCCTTTGTGCGGAGAAGTTACATCTAAAGGGTAAGTGCAAAAAATTTGGGAATTACAGTCCATTTCAATATAAAACAACGCGAGAAAGTGAGGTTTCTTGGATTATAATAGAAAGAGTGCAATGGTTTTCGCTACCCTTAGTGAAAGTTACGTGCGTATTTCGCGGGCATTAGTTTGACAAGAAAGGTGCCGGTTCACCAAAATCTAACGTGAGATAAAATCCGTCAAGAAACATTTACATCTTTTTACAACCCAAAATTTGTACTGACCGGAAGGAACAACAACCGAAATCTGCAATTCAATTGGCCATCATTAAAGACCCCCCATTCTAAGAGGTCGGTCGGTATAAGAAAGCATCAAAGAAATCTCCTGAGTATTTAACCAATCCCGTAGCTGTAAGAACTCCAAGTTTCCATATCAACAAAAGAATTTTGTCCAACAAAGGTTGATTATAAAACTGTATGATTCCAAGGGAATCAAATTCAGCGGTATTTCACAATTTATTTTGTCAATGTAAAACAACCAGCTTGCGGTTAAAATGTAAATGGATAACAACCCTAATTCAAATTATTGAACGAATAGTACCTATAAGTAAAAGAGATGGCCACGTCTACTTAAAAATTAAATATTCAGATCTATACCAGGTAGAAATTTAATATTTAGACCATTTTATAGAAAGCAATGCATTCGTAAATGTTTCCAATGTTGTCTGTGTTTATTTTTATCAGTATAAAAATTCATTATTTCCGTTGTTGTCATTGTGAAGACAGTACAACCTTCAAAAAACCCCTTTTGTAGTGACAATTTCAGCTAGAGGAGATCCCTAAATAAGACAGGTAAATCAGCATATATATGACCAAAGCGCATTTTTAGTAATAGAGATCAGTATTTTATTAGCAAAGTTTAAAATTATCGATCTTACGAGTAATCTAAAGCCCCATTCACATAGGTGGTAGTACAGTGCTGTTGCGGTGCGGTGCCTTTGTATAAAAGTTTGAAATACGCATATCCATATGACAATTCACAATGACATGTGCTGTGCAGTGCAGACGATGTAACAGTTTTATTATTATATCAACATTTTGTTCGTATTTCCATTTCAATCACCCTGTTTATAACTTTTCTATTCTGTGGTAGTCACCTTTTGTAACCTTCACATTCGTTTATTTCCGTACCTGCCCGTTTTAATGTTTTATATTTCTATTATTGGTCTAAAAGCCAATTTCCGCTTTAGATAACCTATGTAATTTGATACCGTAACCATATATGGTATTGTAAGCTTCGATTGACCGCGTTATTGGTTGGAGCAAAACTTCGTTGTTTCATTGGGGCCGGAAATGGAAAAATTCAGCGTGTTTTACTTGCTAACCCGAAGAGAACGGTCGTGCGGTTCATCCTGATTTAAGTGCTAATTTAGTTCCTGTTCATTTGTTTTCAACAATTTGGCGAAAGCATCTTTAAAAACAAGTGAACCATCATTGTACCTGCCATTTCTTTTTGGGCATGGTAACCATTTAATCCGAAAGGAGTTCTTCTAAAGGAACGTAAGCATAATTGTAAGTTCTCTGTGTGTTCGAATCCACACTACCGTTATTTCTATTTTAGGGGACCATTCTGACAACGATCGTAGGATAACTTCCATTCACTTTCGTACGTTCACGAAGCTCTTTTATTTTCCGTTGACTCTCTCCATGTAGAGGTTCGCATTTATTCTTGTGTAAAAACGTACCACCCATTAGTTTATTATTTTAGAGTTCACGTATTGGGGTCAAGAACTACGATCCGACTGTTTACCTGTGAAACGAAACTATAGACCACATTGTGTTGCGGATAAGGGGGCATAGGAAAGTAAATCGACTAAGCGTACTGGAGTGCAGTGTGTACGATCTAGCATCAAACCATTGAAATAACTTAATGGCCGAGTCGTACATATCTTGAAGCCGCTACCTTACTTCCGACACTTTGTGTAACACTTAGAGCAGCATTTGCCATTCAACGTGCAATCATATACCAGGACCTGTGGAAAAGAAGACCTAAATATTGATCGTACGGTGATGTAGCATTGTTAAACCTTTTTGTAAATTTGTGTGTTTGCATTTGACCCACCTCGGTGGTGATCAATTGCTAATTGGCCTGCATAGAGCCAAGATTATTACTGTTAATTGGTAAGCTTGACATTTTTGGGGTACAATATTTTAGCTAGTCAAAAGATTACTCTCGTTATGGAGTGATAACAATTTATGTAAGGTACGAACGAGCTCGTAAGAACCGAATAATTTCATTGCCCACTCAAGCTATAAATTAAGGTATCTATTTTCAATTTAATTCATTATTTTGCCACTGTAACGATATTTGTGTGTTAACTCCAGAGATTCTGGTGTATTTTATTCAACATTTTATGGGAAATTTTATGTAAACCCCTTCTTTTGTTAACGTTGGGAGGATTCATATTTTGAGTTGCTGCTTACCTTAAATAAGATTATGAATTCCCAGTGGGGAATCTAAGTTGTGCAAGTTTGAATTTATTTCATGGTGCAGGGCACCGAATAAAACTTTTTATTTGTGGGTCATTAGTTGCCTATTTTAAAGTTAAAGCTACCTTTCCTAGTTCCGGTAGTGTAAGCGAAACTTAATATGGAATTAGGTGGCGCCCAGGAAATTTACAAGAAGCCACAAAAGTAAGTAGTGAAGATTTATTTGGAATCGATGATATATGATGAGCCATTACCAAATGTATTAATTCTGTCACCCACTACCCTGTGTATTAGTCTTGCTCTCTCCGCTGTTTACTATTTGGTCAACAGAGCTAGCTGGCCGGTCAGCGGCGTGTGTTTGTTTTTTTTATTAAAGCACATGGTATTTTGTAGCGCCTGGCATTTTGCAGCTTGCGCGTTATAACGAATTGCAGCCGCGTGCCGAAAGTATGTAAACTTCAAACTTTCTGCACTACCGTTAGCAAGCACCAATAGAAGTGCAACATATTTGTTGCTGTTGTCGTTGATTGGTCATACTTGTGTAGGCGTGCCAATTTTGCGGTGATTGTGAAAGCAAATGTCAACTTGACAGCACCGATTCGCACCGCACAACAAGGCAACGGCACCGCACTACCACCTATGTGAATGGGGCTTAACTCAAAATAGACTAGAGGCACTTCTGCTTTCTACTTTTAGTGAAAATTTGAAGCCTCTAGTTATTGTAATTGCTGAGATCTCAGCCGGACAACCAGCTAGACAGCCAGGAACAACTAAAATATAATAGCGTATTTTTTTTAAAAGTAAGTACAGTTTTCAGTTTCTTTTCCTTGACACCATTTTAGAAATTCCTCAAACTGTTTTCCAATTTTTTTTGGACAAATTTAGCGATCGCTTCGTCAATTGACTACCGACCATTGTTTAAATACACAATGCAACACATAGGTACGTTTTGTTATTTTATCCAAAATTGAAATGAAACCTTCATTTTCATGCTTTATGTCAGGAAAATGTTAGTTTCCATGATGAAGGCAGACCAGTCTACTTTACCTACCGCCTGTCACTTTACGAGCCGCACCTGTCACATTGCTAAATGTCTATAATGACTCTTGTCATCATTGACAGATTGGCATTATTAAAAAGTTCTGTATAAAAATTAAAATTTTATATTAAAATACGATTTCCGGTAAAATCTAATACAAAACTCGCCAGTAAAATGACATTACTTGAGTCAGAAATTGAAGTATTCGGCCTCTTGTACTTAAATATTTCCTCGCCAGTCATTTGTCATTTTCCTTACTTTTATGTAAATAACTATTTCGCATAGTGATCAAATTACCACAAACACAATAAAGAAATAAAACAAAATCCCTGAACCCCTGTACATATAGACCCGCACGCGGTGGGTCTAAAATAAGAAATTTTAAAATGACTTCACTTTGCTTTGTAACACAGAATTTGATGAGAAACAAAACTGGCTTGATGAATAAAATAAACCAATTTTCGGTGGTTGTTCAGCCGGTAGAAACGGTGATTCCAGTAGTGATGCGTTAACTCCTTTATTCCAAAAATTTTTGTTTGAGAATTGAAGTATGGAAAGCAACAATTGCTGAAACCTGTATCGGCCGTATCGACGGCAGTCGAAGTTTTAAGACGGCCCATCAAAATAAAGAAAGATAAATATTATCGCTCCCAATCAAACCTTTCTCTTCCGTTTAAGTGGAAACAATGATCGCTAAGATCCTGATCACTGGGCGAATACTGAAGGAATCAGGCTAATCCTGCTAATCTTCAATACCATCCTATGGACAGAAATCTTTCCAGTTCAATGGAAAGTTTTTCAAGTGATTCATATCCAAGAGCCTGGAAAAACCAATCAACGACCCAACTTCTTACAGACCAATAAGTTTGCTACTCCTCCTTTTAAAACTTTTCGAACGATTATTACTCAAAAGATTCTCTCCAATCCTTCAAGTTGAAAACCTCATACCCGAATACCAATTTGGCTTTCGAAGTGCACATTTCACAATTGAGCAGATACATAGGGTTGTAGACACCATCAATCATGCCTTCGAAGATAAGGAATACTGCTCTGCAGCCTGAAGTAAGATCATTCCAACTTAAGTATGGAGCAGCGGTCTCGGAACTATATTCTATCAAATCCGGAGTCCCCCAGGGAAGTGTCCTGGGACCGGTCCTATATGTTTTGTACCCGGTCGTTATACCAACTAGCGTCAACACAACTACTGCAGCTTATGCTACTGATACAGCAATCCCCGTTACCCATCACGATCCTGCCGAAGCCGCCCGAACTCTACAACAGAACTTCTATTCTATCTCTAATCTCACCCCGTCAGCACATTACATCATCATTTTGAAATAAATCCGTTTGGATCTTTCCCTTAATGCTCTCGTTGTGATGTATGGTATTGGTTAGGCAATCATGGAAATGAGTCATAGTGTATTCTTGAGCGATTGTAATTGGCGATTCACTCTTTTTGACATTTACCATGAAATGTTTAAAGTCTTTATGGTTCAAGATGATTAAGAGATTGATTTGGCCAAAGTTTTTGTAAATTCTCAAAAAATGGTCGTTGCATGTGAGGCACTATGGGTTGAAAATATCATCTGTTGTGAAATTTCATTCAAGGCAAAAGGTTGGTTAGATAATCCAGATTCTCTGAGTAAACATGGCTCTTGTTTGGAAATTTTGGTGCATCTAGTAGCAAAATATCTCATTTTCATACAATTAAAACGTTTAATTTTACTATTCATTAAAGTAATTGGATGATCGTCGCCTTCAAAGTTAATGACAAGTGAATCGGGCAAAATACTCGCTGTACAGTATGCACACCTGACTTTGGAAACTGTACAAAATAATGACCTTCTATGCCTATGCCCGCCCCTATAAACGAAACGGGGGACAGGGTTCTTATACGTTTGTTTTTAAACATTCTTCTCATTGTGTGGGGTAGATGGGAAAACATTAGATAAAATAATTCGTTGCGCCGATATTACGTATTTTCCTGCAGTAATAAAAGTTCCATTGACGGCGATACCGTTGTGATTAAAAATAAAATTTTAAAAAATTTGAAATTCTAGACGCATACAATTTGAACCTACAATGGGTCCAACACCTACAACATAATCTCGTGCTAAGATGTTCTCTATTGAAGGTAAAATTATTGCTTGAGCTTTTTTTGGGAAAGTACATATCAGCTAATTTTTATTTTAAAATGACGCTTGTTTTCACGCATAGCTTCTAATATTATCCGATGTTATATACCAGTGGTTGCCATTTAAACTGGTGGCTAATTTTCACTAAGCAAATAGACTTCTATTTCAGCCTAAAAACCGAGCATTGAGCAATCATAATTATGTAATTTATAAAACTATTAAAAACCATATTATACTTTGTTATTCGTGAAAGTTTAGTATCCGTACACTCAGTTGTATTCAAAACTACTTGGAAAATTGCAAAAATTCCAATACTGAAAACATGCACAGTCAAAGATTCGCGTTGACTTAAAAATTAAGTTAAATTACCTGTATTTGCTTTACGTCACTGTGAGTGTGCATGCAGTCTTCGTGTGTGATCTTGCAAAGAAGCCGCTACTGCCTTCGATAAGCACGTTTTCTATTTACCCATCCGGATTTCCGGTGATCGATCAGTTAAAGTTTCTTAAATTGTGCTGTGCTGTAAACCGACAAAATGTACTTCAAAAATCTATAAATACACATGTAGCTAAAGGTGGATATTTAAATTTCAATAGCCATTTAAGAGCGTTATTGAAAACGTCACGATTATCAGTTATTGCTTGTATAGCATAAACCAACATCAACCACCTTCGTACGCGAGTCTTCATCAGTATTGATTAATATGCACTTCAGCAGCGACACTGCAGTCGACGGGGCGTAAAATAAGATAAAACTCTTTGGTGAGCGTCGGCATAAGCCCAAGTTTTACGACAAATAGAGGTCCTGACAGCGGGGATTTGCATGAAAATTGACCTCTACCCCCATCATACGTTGCTAGAAATCATCTTTCGGCAAAGCCATTTATTCAAAAAATGTCATCCGAACGGATATTAGCGTCAGATTAATGACACCGACCGAACGGAAATCGATAGCACAAATATAAAAAAAAGAAACTGCCGACGCTTTAAATACGGTTACTGGAGATAATATAACGTCCTATTAATTTAAGGGAAGATAAAACGTCATAAATTTATTGGAAAACGATTGATAAATTATTACCGCAATATGTCCACGTAATATCTAACGATTTATTTAATTATCCTTTTATATCTTATTTTTACACAGAGCCGAGATAGAAACCGGTTGCTGTGAAATTAAGGAGAGAGCTTTAGCCAGAGAGCAAAAAAAGGAAAGAGCTTGCAGAATTAAATTAACGAACGCGAGGGATGCTTTCTTATTACCGTATTACTTACCGTTTTGAGAACTGATCTAGCAAAAAGTGTGTACGGGTATAGTTGAGAAAACGTGACTTTCGTAGGGATGCCCATTTCATTTTTAAAAATTCCATTAGTTTATTACCATCACTCTATTACAGAAAAATGTACTCATGCAAACAGTTACTTTACCCTTATAGACAAAAAAGTACGTACATTTGCTTAAATTTAGAAAAGTTCCTGTTGTATAATTATTTTCATTAAATGGATGTAAGATTGTATTAAATAGATCTATAAGGGCGTCCGTCGTTGACTTTTTTGGTCTGAAACCGTATTGTGCATTATTTAAAATATTATTGACCTTAAAATTCAATTCCGTATTTGATTTTTTGAGATTTTATTCAAA